GGTTTGCCTTCTCTTTCCTTCTGGTACCACCTCCCAGCCCAATGTGGGTATCCTTAGCCCCTCCAGATAAACTAGACACACTCAGTCCTTGCTCAGGCTCTGCTTTCTGGAGAATCTGACACTGAGCTAATAGAGGATTTAAATCCCTTACTATGATTTCTTTCTCCCTATCTCTCTTTCCCTCTTCTTTCCTATACCTTTCTCTTTCTCTCTCTCTTCCCTGTTACTCTCTTTTCTTTTCCTCTTTTTACCCAATATTTATGGAGTACCTATTTTATGACTATCACCAAACAATAAAGATGAAAGACAGTTTCCTTGCCCTCAAGAATCTCAGAGTGTAGCCAGTGAGACAGAACCCAATAAAGGACATTGTAATACAGAGTGGTAAAAAGCGTAAGAGAAAGACAAGGTGTTATCAGAGTGAAATACAGAGACATGTACAGGGCATCAGGAAAGTCTTCTTATCAGAGAAGGCAAATGCCACTGAAAAGCTATTGCAACAGCCCAGGCATGAAATAATGAGGGCCCAGAATTCCAATGTTTATAATCAGATGGGAAAGGAAGAGACAGGTGAATGCATTATCACAAAGAAAGACATGGCAAAACTTGGTGACTGAAAAGGAAGTGGAGATGTTATAGGCTGAATGTTTGTGTCCCACAAAATTTGTATGTTGAAGTGATAACCTACAATGTGATGGGATCTGGAGATGGGGGTCTTTGGGGGGTAATTGGGATTACATGAGTTGATGCCCAGACTGTTTTAAAGCAGCGATTCTCAAAGTGTGGTCTCGTATCAACATCTGAATTACCTGGGTATATCTTAGACAGGTAGGTTTCAGAGATAATCCAGACCCACTAAATCAAAAACTCAGGGCATGGGACACAGCCATGTGTGCTTTAACAAGCCCTTCAGATGATTCTGATGTGCTTGTTTCACTCTGCCAGTGGCTCCTGGAATCACCTTTCAATTAGACACTTGCACTTGTCTCAGAGTCAGATTCTTGAGATACCCAAATTAAAATTGTACTCTTTTTTTAAAAATTTATCTTTGTTGTTGAAAGTGTTACAGATGTTCCTCCTTTTCCCAGCATTGACCTCCTCCTCCCACTCCGACCCTCCCCCCAGGCCTTCACCACACTATCGTCTGTCCATGGGTTATGCTTATATGCATATAAATTGTACTCTTGAACTACTGGAATTTTTAATTCCCTAGGGCTGCTTTGGATGATGGTGCTTAGTTACATAACAAGCTTTCTACTGATTTATACTGAATCACATTCCACTGAATATATCATAAAATCTCTACTAGTTGGTTTGGCCTTTTTTTCTTTTATCTTTTAAATGTTTAAAAAATACTACTATTTCAGCCTATTGTTGATTTTGATGACACTTGTTTTTGTTTTTTTACCTTTTTTGAAGGATCCAAAGATTCTATCCAAATTTGTTTCAACTTATCTGTACAACTATCCTCATAAGACTAGAAAAAATGGTGTTGGTTTTGATCAAAGGAAAATGAAGCCAACAACAGAAAATTATACAATCTAAATGCTTAATTCTAAAATACTAAAGTCCTATTGAGACTAGGAGACTAACTTTTACATAAAGCACAATTGGGTAGTCTTCCACCAATCATATGAGCACCATCCTACACAACACAAACCCAGTGAGAGAGAAAAAGGCTTGAATATTTGGTGTGATATCAGGATAATACATGGTTGATTATTTTTTTAAAAAACCTCTTATGATTGTTTTACCATTTTAAGTTTAGTAATGAATCAAGCATTTGTGATGATGTCAGAAGAATGGCAGCATGAGAGATCCCCTTGGCCTTTCCCCCTGAAACTTTAATAAGCTGATCCACTATAACTCAACAAAGGATTCCCTGCTCAATATAGAGGTACGCCTGACAGACCTGTGCATTGAAGCATCTAAAGGTGGGCAAACAGGAACAAATGGGGAGGCCAGAAGGGAGGAAAGCTCAGACGGCCACAGACAGCCCTGCAGCTAGGAGCTCACAGCTTGGCCTGGAGAGGGGAGGAAACCAGTGGTTGCAAGTACTTCCTTGGGCCTGGAGGAACAGAGAGTCTCGGTGCGCACTCCAGTAGGGCAAATGGTGCAAACTGCAGCTGAGTCAGCTGAAAAGCCAAGGCAAGGACACAGTGCAGGAATTCTGTCGGGCTGTCCACTGCCTGTTGGGTGTTTCATGCAAAGAAATGTAACCACAGAGGCTTGCTGTCCCTTGGACTCCCAAAACTCACCTTCTGTGGCCCTTGGTCTTGGGCCAAGGAGTATATTATCTGTAAACAGAGCTGTTGCAGCAGAATCACTGTTTCCCGCTGTGACTGATTCCCACATGGGGAGTAGGAGTGGGGGACCATGCTAAGGTCTGGGGTCACCACTATGGTGAGGGAAAACCAAACCTCACCTCTAATCAACGTGGCTGCACTGTTTGATGGGAGCTGCAGAAGTCAGCTGAGGGAGGTCACAGAGGTAAAGATCTTGTGATTCAGCGCCACCTACTGGAAAATAGGAGAAAGACCTCTTCAGAGAAAGCAGCTAAGAAGGGCCAATTAATACATAGATGCCTAGACAGAGGAGACCAGCAAATACCATGAATAACCATAATAGCGAGGTAGCTCAGAAAGAAAATGAAATATCTCCAGAAAGAAAACTGGAACACATGGAAATATGTGATATAAATGACAGAGAATTCAAGATTGCAGTTCTGAAAATACTCAACGAGATGCAAGAAAATAAAGACAGGCAAGTTAATGCACTTAGAAAACAAATTAATGAACAAAATGAGTACTTTACCAAAGAGATTGAAACTTTAAAAAATAAATAAAAAATCCTGGAAATGAAGCATTCAATTAAGGAGATTAGAACTGAATTACTGAGCATAGGAAACAGAGCCAACTAGATGGAAGAAAGAATTAGTGATATTGAAGATAGATAGGAATCTAGAAATGATGCAGAGGGGAGAAGAGAGAGACCTGATGGACTTATTAACCTATGGACCTATTAACCAATGTCACACCAATAAATTAAAAGAACAAAAGAAATCAAACATTTGCTAATTAAAAAAAAATTAAATCATAGTCAAAATAGGATAGTTCTTATATTTAATTTGTGTGGGACTTCTGAGACTACTTAGCAAGAATTTTGAAATTTGGAACCTCTGATGACTACAGAAAGCAAAAGCTCTGGTGTTATCCTGGGCTTTAAGAAGTGTATCTTCCTGTAAAATATGTGAGGAAGGGATTCAGTATTGATGCTAAAGATTTCAGAAATCTGATTGTGAAGAGATCCATCCTTATATGAGGCCAATGTTGGAATCAGTTCTATTTAAAAACCGTTGCTATGTGTTAGACACTGGGAACAAGATGCAGCCCCTTTTCTCTTGGAGTTTATGTGCTGGAGGTTGTGCCAGGCAATAAACAAGGAGTGAAATAAAATAGAACATAAAAAGAGCTGCAAAGGAACCAAATAGGGTGTCAGTTACAGTATTTCAAAAAAATTATTTGACATGCTGGCTTTAACACCCTAAATGTCTTCTCGACGTGTGTTCATGGGGTAGACCTCAGAAAATTGGCATTGCTACTTTTCTAGATTAATGGCTGTGTTGAGCCAAGGTGGGAGGGGGATGTTTTCCCATACCTCTGTAAAAGGTTATTCACTTGGTTTGAGACCAACCCCCCCCCCCATCCCAGAATGAA